CTACCCAAGAACAATTTTTAGCCATTCCGCAGAGAAACGTCAGTCAAAAACTAGCCAGCTCTCTTATGATTGGGGCAGTAAAGGGTAAATAGTGCCCCAGATCTTGGAACTTGTGCAGGTTCTGTTTGTGGACCTTCAGAGAACTGTATTACCTTCCTTTCATGGTATTGCACAGAGATCGGTGCAGAAATCAGACCGACAGTCCGAGGTCCGGTCATATTATAATACCCCTTCAATGTCACTAACCCTAAAATATTACTTCCTGAACATGAGAAGTGGCTTTGGAGTGGCATAGGCCTCCAAAGCCACTTCTCATGTTCAGGAAGTAATATTTTAGGGTTTTTTAGGGAAGCTGATCTAATGAAAAGGGCTCACGATGGCTCACGATTCTCTTCGCTCAGCATTATTCTATGTAGAAAACCCATTTCCCGTTCAACCTTAGAGTGCGCCTAGGGTGGAATGAGAAACTCGAAGGGACGATTTTCATCAAATTTGAGGGTCAAATTGCCGGTGCCGCTAGCTGAGCTCGCCTAATTCATGAGCTACCCTGACATCGAGGCGAATATCGAATCTGAGTTACAACGAGTGGAATCTTACTTCCTGCGCAAATTGCTACAGCTACAAATACAACTTGTGGTGCCCCTTGAATGAGATCTTATTCAAGGGGCACTACAATTCTGAATGGGAGTAGAATGCGTGGCGCGTTCTCAGAAAGGATTGATCTAAGTCGAAAAGTCCATTATGTTTTATTACGGTACTTGTGACACGAACAATTTAACAACATCGATTATTACCTTAATTTTTTACAAAGCAATTGATACAATCACGAATGTATGAGATACACGTCGACCTCAGTACCCAGGACACAAGGAAAGAGTGAAAGGGTATTTGGTCAAAATGTTCGGGGAAAGTCATTTCCAGCCCTCTTGGGGCTGCATTTATACTTTACGGCAGCGAATAATAGCGTCACCAGCGTTCTCAGCGTCTGCCAGCGCCCACCAGCGACCAGCAGCGTCACGAGGGCTAGGGAAGTGTAGATATCGATCTAGCGTCTGCTAGCGCCTGCCTGCGAACAGCAGCGTCTGGGAGAGCAGAGTATGGGGTTATAGGAAGATAGAAAAGAGCTGGTAGAGTATGGGGAGATAGGAGGGTAGTAGACTGCTGATAGAGAGTATGGGGCGATAGGAGGGAGCAGCCAGCTGGTACCCTCCTATCGCCCCACACTCTCTACCAGCAGTCTGCTGCTGGTTGCTGGTGGACGCTGGTAAATGCAGGCAGACGCTGGCAGACGCTAGATTGATACCTATACTTCCCTAGCCCTCGAGACCATGGTGGACGCTGGTAGACGCTGGCGGACGCTGGCAGACGCTAGATCGATATCTATACTTTCCTAGTCGCTGATGCGCTGCCGGACGCTGGTGGACGCTACTGGTCGCTGGTGGACGTTGCCGCAAAGTATGAATGCCGCCTAACCTGGCGTTGGCGGATCACAAGACTAGCAGAAAATAGAAGGATATGTGTGTACCTGCAGAATTCTGTACACTGAAGAGAAACAGCGTAGAAGTGTGAAAAGATAGTTGGAATGTCAGCTTCTTCCTCCAAAAGCATGTTTCCCCGCAACCCAACTGCCTATTTATGAGAATTCGTCCAAAACAATTCTAAGCGTTGTCGACCTCCTACAGAGACAATTTCTGGGGATAAGGCTAATAAAATTTTGATATCCAAGGAAATCTAGAGTGAATAATGCCAAAACAACATACACCGGATCGAGAACTTCTCAAATATCACATAATATGAAAGCATTAAAGAAAATCATTACGATGAGCAGACACAGAAAGGCACGTGAAAATAAATGAAATACCATTCAGCCATTTCGCCCCATATCTAACGCATTATTGGGGAGAAACAGCAGAACCTTACGAAGTCGTCTGCTGTACTTTTAAAGAGGAGCCGGGCCTGCCCTGTGCTCCAATAAACTATCTGGATTAAAAAAGTCCAAAAAGAACCCACTTATATCACCCAAAATAAACAGTTTCTGTACCCTAAAACGGCTACAGGGAACTCGTACATAACAGGGGAGAGTGCGTGAGATATGGGATGTGCAGACAATCTGACTCGGTCGTTCTAAATGCCTTTTTCCTCCTGTTATGAACCCGTTTTGTTCAAAGTGATCGCATCCGTCGGAATTCATTCAACGGTCACTTCTTCGACCACGAACTTGCTGGCTAACGAGCAGAACTGAAGAACGGCCAACGATAGCAGCTGAGGATCAGCCTTGATGCATTTTCCCATCGCCTTGTTGTAGAATTTGCCCTCCTTCTGAATAACGATTTCTATTATTCATGACTTTTACAGAAAGTTTTACTAGAACGTACCGTAACTTTCCAGTCCTGATGAGCGCGCTGGTTATGGCACTTCAACAACGAGACACCTTTGAGTGAGTCAAGGCACAGGCGCGATGAGCCCATTGGGCGAAACTCGTGCTAAAATTCACAAATGTTATGTATGCTGAAGGCAAAATGGAGGTTTTTAAAGGCATAAGGTATGATAGTTTGGTATTTGCCCAGAAGCAGGGGTGCTATAAAAAGAGGAAATTACGAAAAAGCGAATTAATTGGCCGAAAATCTGCGAGAAAACCCTTGGTTCTGCATGGCGTTGGACGGGCATTTCTGGACGAGTTTTCCGTTTTCATCGCGCTAACACGCTTGATGATTACGGCTGCACTATATATTCACATATCCATATAGAAACGCTCCATATCAATGTATCTCATAAATAAAGCGATAAGGGTGCCAGCGTCAAATTGACTGTGCGGCTATTTTGGGGCGGGTGGTTACGGAGGACTCTGGGTCAGCATCTTGCACCTTGGGTAGGCGCTAAAGGCGCCATGCAGCGCTTGCTAAGTCACCTGCGATATTTTTTCGTGTTTTATTATTGGAATTTTTATCATCTCCTGCATTATTTTGACTAGTCGCAGTTGGTCGCGATTGTGAAGTAGGCGGGACCGCCCCAGGGCGGGGCATACCACGTTACAAGCACCTAGCGCCCTTTCCACACAACTTCAAGTCGCGAAAACGTCGCATCCTAGTCGAACGATCTGCACTACTTGTGCGAAGGAAGACGGACAAGAGAATCGCAAGTCGCGTCATCATCCGCGGCGCATCGTGCGACGAAGTGCCCCGTCAACTGAAACAGCTGAGCTCATACAAAATACAAGCCTGCTTGGCGGGTGATAGCTATTCTTCCCGCCCCTCTTACAGTCTTCATCCAGGCAGTTGATTAGGCGGCCAAAGGGTCGCGACGCGGCTGCGGCGCGTCACGACCGCGGCGATCAGCTGTTTCCAGCCTGGTTTAGCCATTTTCTCCCTAATTTTCACTGTATTTTCTATTTTTTTCAAGGTAAGTTGTGTTATTGCCTTTATGAAGTGTATTAAGACGTGGATTTTTTTATTTTTGTAATGGAGGGTTTTTGCGCTTATCCCAGGTATTTTGTTCAATTGTTTGCCTAATTGTTCTATTGTTCGCTAAAATTAGCGAAGTGTCAATTACAATTCACCTTGTGAAGACAAGGAACAACTAACCCAAGAAAAGCAGCCAAAAACAGTGAAAATTAGGGAGAAAATGGCTAAACCAGGCTGGAAACAGCTGATCGCCGCGGTCGACGCGCCGCAGCCGCGTCGCGACCCTTTGACCGCCTAATCAAGTGCCCGGATGACGGCTGTACACTTAAATACAAACGAGGGGCAGGACAACTCGTCCGTAGAGATAGCGTCGCTCCACACGTACACTGGCGCGGCATATTAGACTTATCACATACACATGAATTTAATACTCATCAGGTGAAGGTACGCAGTGCCTACAATAGGAACTTCAACACGATAAGGAAAATCTGTGCAAATGAGAACTATTGTGGTATCACCGTACATTTTCAGTCCACCTCCATTGTTGATTGCGTTTCGCATGACAAACGCCCATCTCCACACGATTTCCTCGAGCTATTCGCCCGTTTATGGACTCGGCCGTCAGGCAAAATGACGAATTAGCTAGGCGGATCTGAAAGCGGACCATTTCAGTAGAAGCTGTCAGTTGTGACTGAGATTTCATTGACCTGGAACTTTTTGCCATTCTGCACGGGTGTGTTCACAATGTCGAGTTTGTCCGGAATGTTGCCAGGCAGCAGCTCGGGGTAGATGTTTTCCAGGTACCTGAAATGCCGAAACCATCTGGGGAACTTAGGAAGCCAAGCTAGGAACACATTTCAGAAGAGAGCCGCTGTAATTTATACTTTGTTTCCGCTCGAGCTTGTACTTTAGAGAAGGCTTTGCGGAGGGGTATGTGAAACTTTGAGGAGCATACCTGATACAGTTACAGTTGGTCCCTCTCTGTAACCCTCTAGTTTCAAGGCTTAGTAGCATGCTCTTATTACACTGAACACTGGAACCACTAGAGTGGTACATCCGACAATTATAATGAGAAAACTATCCCATCGGAACCGTTGGGAAACCAGTTTTGATCGAGGGCAAAAATCATTATTAACTTTTTCAGTGCGGATCTATTGATTGGGAACGAGCTAGCTATGTGGGAAGGCCACTTTTGGAGAATAATTCCCGGGCGTTGCATGTCCTTCCAAGGTCGGGTCTCTTTACCAAATATGCAGCGCCAGAGGCGAATAGCGCCATAGTATGGCTCGCAGTGGAGACCTGATGTGAATTTCGCTCGCGATCAGATCCCCGGCCAACGATTATTATAGCAGCACTATCACTTAAAGACACATGGTACGATCACACATAGTTTGGGTGTGCGTGACTATCAGCCCCCAGCTGTCGAAGCGTAGCGGTTTCCCCGTCCTAACATGCGCAGGAATGGAGATACAGGACCGTGAAACACGCTAATTCCTCCATGCTCCGCCCAATGCCTTTTGCGGCGCAGACTCCCGTTTATGCTAACAGCCGTCCGCGCGGCGCTT